AAAGGGAGCCGGTGAGTTTCTGGGTTAAGCTTTGACACTGCCCCTATCAGTGATCAGGAGTAGAAATGAAGAGAGGGCTATGGCATTTATATTGTACATCATCCAAAGGTCTCGCTAGAACAGAATGACCCCTCCATGCCAAGGCTAATATAAATGGCTTCATGGAATCGCTGATTTGCTGAACTGCCTGCAACATTCAATGAGTAGCTACAATGAGCTCATCATGATCCCAGCTAGAAGTGGAAGAGAGAGGATGGAGCAGTGAAGAATCCACCTCCTTCCTTCTAAGACTCTGGAATTTAGTAGAACACACACATCCAAGAAACAGGAGAACACTGGCTGTGAAACCTAGGACCCGATGAAATAGCTAATAAATATAAGACACGCAATGCAATTCCTCATAGGAATGTTGAACAGAGATGGATAAAAAAGAAAGGGTCACTCGGAGGAGAGAGAGCTTCTGAAGAGCCCAGTTTCAAGCCTCTCACAGAGGAGGAGGGCAGCTGAGTACCGGATCATACTTTGTGAAGAGAGACATACCTGAGACTGCCATGGGCATGACTCATCTCAGAAGGCAGGCCAGTGGACCAGCTCGGGCCAGCAGAACATGCTGGTCAGCGGCTGTGAGTGATGATGTGTTAGGTGGGAGGCGGAGAGGGAGGGCGGCCAGAGGAAAGAGCCGAATGCCTTCTGAGGTGACCCTGCAGCTGATAAGATTGCTTACAGAAGCCGTTAGAAAAAATCAGGACTTGAAGATGAAGAGTCTTTCCAGGACAGAAATATAAAAGCTCGGAGAAAGTCCTGGCATGTGGGGGGGCATGTGGCATAGGGGGAAGGGTAGTCAAAACTAAACCAACAAGTAAGGAGTTGAAAGCACATAGGTTGGAAAGCAATAGTCAAAAAGTCTGAAAGGAGGAAGGAAAAGGCAATTAACTGAGGAAGAAGACACCGCAGGGCATGTGGTGCTGTCTCCATTCCATGTATTATAGTGAGAGGAGGGTATTTTAAATCCCTGGGTCCTTCCAGGAAGCTTGATGCATTACTAATGTGCTCTGCTACAGAGCTGTCCTAATCATGGCTAAAACGGAGGATGTCAGTGAAGGTCACTGCCAACCGGGCACTTTTTCAAGCAGCACAAATTAGCCTGCCGGAATCCAGCAGACACAGACAGATTCCAAGCCACCCTACTAGAAGCCGACATGAAGCCAAAAACAATCAGAAATGCTTTAATCACCTAGCAAATAATGAGGCAGACCCAAATTTACAAGGCTGAGGTTCAAGAAAAGGAAGCAGGGTGGTGATAAAGATATTTTATCAGTGCTCTGCTACCCCCGCCTTTTTTTTTAATTGTAGATACTTAACATATTTACATTTTCAATTTTAGAGGTCTGCATTTTTCTAGTGTCAAATCAGTTAGCTACACAGAGCTTTTCCGGGTCCTTGACTATTCTCATAATGTTCATTTTATTAAAAATCTCAAAAAATATGCGAAGTATTTTTATAAGTTTCCTCCTGAGAGCCTTGTCAAGTGTGCGATGAGCCACAGAGCCTCATCCTGAGAGCTGAGGGTCAGTTTCCAGACCTCGGGTGCCACGTTCTGACTGCCCTCAGGACACGGCATGCCAGGGAACAAATGGTCGTTCTGGGCTCCTTCAAAGTGCTCAGCTGGGCTATTTCTTGAATCTGATGGGAGTCTGAGTTTTTCTGGGAAGACAAGTTGGACGGTTGACAAGGTTTCCTTCTCTGGAACGACGACATACCTGAATTCGCTTAAAGCACGACATCTGGTCACATCAAACTGTGCTCGTGGAGAAGGTGTGTTTAGGGACTGAGTGTGGGGATAGAAAACTCGATCTTCCCTCAAAAGGGCAATGTGGGTGTTCAGAAGGACTAACGACTGGAGGTTGTCTTGGCCGGGGTCACCCTCGACTCTGACTGTCGTGTAGAGCAGTAACTGTACCTCTGCCAGAGAGGGGATGTTGACTTCCATATTTCCATGAAGAAAGTAAATCATGTCAACCAAGGTATCCTGGAATCTGGATGACAACCGAACACCGTCTGCCAAAACTAAATCAGGGATTTCTGCTTTCCAGTCAAGAGAAAGCTGAACCAGATCTTGTTGGAACAAAGGGTGATTAGTGCGGACAGCAGCAACAGACTCGGGCATCAGGACACACAGGAGGTCACCGCAAATCTGCTGACAGAGGGTTTTGCTGTAACTAAATACGGTGAGCAGGAGACTCTCTGCAGAGCCCAAGAGTCTGATGCTCTGCCCACCAAAGCCGACTTGGATTTCCTCTAGTCCAGAGAGAGGCAGAGCATGAAAAATGCCCGTTGAGGCTGAAGGATTATCTGACAGAACCAAAGCATATAGCATGGAATGAAGCAGAAGCAAACATGCTGGCTGAGGGTCAGGTTCTGTGCAGTTAGCAACAGCAAGCCAGTAAACACCTTTGACTTCCTTTACGTCGCCTGAGAGTTCTGGTACGGAACAAGCCACGTGCTCAAGAAAGTCTTTTAGAGGCTGCTCCTGAAGTTTCAGCATCTGGGCTGGGAATCGCACAAGAGTCTGCTGAAATGCGGGTCTCCTTCCAGAATCTTCAGATTCTAGGTGCAGCACTGAGCTTGCGGAGGAGTCTGGGGATCCTGCAGCAGCAGAGGTAGCAGTGAGGCCTGGTGCTCTGAAAGGCATGGTGCCCTCTGCTGGCCTGGCGGCTCCTGCCTCTTCAGGATCGCTGCTGCCAGCCTGAGCTTCTCTGGGGAAAGAATAAGGCTCTGATGACGCCTGCTGTGACTTCAGGGGCGTGTCCAGGGGAAAGTGTTTCAGAAATGGTAGTCTTCTGATAAATGTCGTCACATGGGAGGTGAGCCCCCTGGGGTCACACAGGTTCCCTATATGCCCGGCTTGGCGGATCACCTCTGTGCCAGCCTGTAGCAGGTGACTTCTGGTATCTTTATAAAGATCTGCCAGCCTGTGGTAAAAATAGCCCAACCCGCTGTTTCCTTCTGTCCTGATATTTATCAGGGACTGTGGAGAGTTATCTTTTTTAGCATCTAACTCTCTCTCGACTTGCTGCTCACCACAAAACTTCCCGGCGGGTGCATGCTGAGGAACGCTGTGGGAGGCACCCTCCTCACCAGAAACCGTTTCAGAGAGGACCAAGCAGAGTAACTTGCTTTGCCTGGTCTGCTTGCTTCCATTATGTAGAGGCACTTCTTGGGACAAATCTTGCAGCAAAGTCCAGCTGGACTCGATTCCCAAGTTGTGTTTATCTTTATGAGTCATCAGATCACTGAGATGTTCGGATCGATGCTGATGTTTTGTGTCACTGGTGTTGCTTTCGTTAAGAAATGTGATTTCATGTAGACTGAAACGTTTTGGTTGGAAACAGCCTGCACACTCAGGATGACCGTATCCACGATCACTGTTCTGCCACACCTTGTGTACGGAGGACCGATGTCTTCGCTGGTGGGCTCTCTCGCACGATGCTGAGGAGGGAGCAGGAGACGCCGAGATGCTCTGTGTCGTGGGAGGACCCGGATGGTTGTTCCGATTCACCTCCCTCCCCTCTTCTCTGCCGGAAGGGCCAGTGACATCTCTGGGCAGCAGCGGGGCAAGATACCTTTTCTGTTCAAGATGTCAAAAACAGTTGAAATGGGGGTTGGCAGCATCTTTTGCAAATCTTTTTGCACATGAAGATTCCTGCAGTCATTGGTTTCATTGTGTAGATTAATGCAGAGGTTAGATCGAAAGCCTAAGCTATTCATATTGATTGATACATGATTTAAGAATGGATGATCTGATTCACACACAGGACATCAATTTCCATATTATTTATCTTACAAATTGCCAAGTGTTTGAAAGAGATATGTTGTGCGGGATTGATCCACAGTATCCACTTCTTGGTCTAATATTTCAATTGCTCCAAAATAAATCCTAAGATCTTTGACTCAATTTGCAAAAGGTCAGACTTAGTTGTGAAAATAAGTCCATGACTGTATGTCCAAAATGTAAAAGTAATCAGGGCACACTTAATGAAAATCAGATGACAGGGCCAAAAGGAAATTGACAAGTATTTCAACCTCAGTCATATTTCTCTTGCCTCTTGGTTCACTTCATGGGAATCTTTAATTATACCTGCCCTGGTTAGACTGCCGTGACCAGAGCTACGAACCAGCACTGTGAAAGGCTTCCCCGCTACAGGCCAGGCACAGTGGACACAAAGAAATAACAGGCAACGTCCTACACTTCACAAGGTTATCTGCTAGAGAGAAGGATGTCTAGAGGAAGACAATGTCATTACTGGACCAGCCGGGTGGAGGCGTGGCAGTGGCCAAAGTCAGCTAAGCCTCCTCTGGGACACCCAGCCCTTCACCTCTTGTTCTCTGTTCTGTAATATATGGGCGCCATCTGTAAGACTTCTACCACCTAGTTTTGTTTTGTTTGTTTTTGTTTTGTTTTGTTTTTTAATTTAGGAATGTATGGGAAGGACAGGTCCCTCAGTGGAAGACAATACTATAAGTAAAACCTTACAAATCGTATGCCCAAATAAACCTTGGTTTGACAATCCACCAGAGAAATAAGCTAATCAACCAAGAGTATGTCCTTTGTACTACTGCCAACTCACAGTCCATAAAATGAGCAGGGTTTTTAAAACATTGAGAAGTGTTCAGTTTCATTTCCAAACCCCATATCTGATTCTGATTATATAATTCTGCCTTTTAAATGCAGACCAGGGGAAAGGATACTGTTACAAATGAAAAACTGGGCAAGGAGCCTCCACCACAGTTACATGCCATTCAAATAAAGTCCAAGCAGTTTTCAACCTGCAGGATTCCGTTTAATTTTAAGTCCATATAATAGCTTGCCTTCCCTATTAGCCATTAATCTCACTGGGACTTCAAAATTCTAATTACGCAACCAAACATTAAGAAAATTTAATCACACGAGCATGCCATAATTTAAGGCGACCTTATCAATCTGAAAAATCATTACCTACCTCATATTTTAGCTTACGTTGAATGGTGCCATTGTGGAGTTTCTCATTATCCTGATAAGAAAATAAAAAGCGCTCTATATTAAATTATAGCTTGTTCATAGAGGGAAAAGAAACTGATTTGATTAGAAATATTTATGGGAACAAAATTCTAAAGAAACATACTTACTCAACAATGACATCCCTTCTATAGAATTTATATTCCCAAGGTAAGTATGACTCTATTGCTCCATCTGCCTGTAAGGGAACTGAAGCATCTATTCCTAATCTTAAAATTCTAAGAATAATATGAACATATTAAATAAAATTCAATAAATTAAATAAATGAAATAAAACTTCCTTAGGACCCTTATTAACTTGAGGAATAGGAATGAAATGTTTCTATTTTGATAAAAATCAACATCGCAAATACGTATCTTCTCAAAAGCAAAATTATATATCTACTCAGGATAATGTATCAAGCAAAATTAAATACTTAAGGAAATTGGTTATATTTTTTGGAGAAAATGGAAAAATGTTACATGTAGAATCTTTATAAGTCAAAGTAAATAAAGCATTTTAGTAGACTCTATATTCAGTTAAGAATTCCCCCAGAAGTACAAAATTCTTAAATAAACAAAGTTTCTCTTGAACCAATACTATTTATAACATGTTAAGCTCCACCCAAGCTATATTTAATTTTTAGAGAACATTCTGCATCTCAGTTTTCTCACCGAGAAACAATAATAAGGGGGCCCATCACCACTACCTCCACCAACTTATGGAGAGGTCACCTTGAAAACTAATGATGGGGTGCATGGGTGGCTCAGTCGGTTAAGCATCCGAGTTTGGCTTGGGTCATGATCTCATGAGTTCGAGCCCAGCGTCGGGCTCTGTGCTGATACCTCAGAGCCTAGAGCCTGCTTCAGATTCTCTGTCTCCCTCTCTCTCTGCCCCTCCCCAACTCACGCTCTGTCTCTGTCTCTCAAATACAAATAAACATTAAAAAAAAAAAAAACTTAAAAAAATAAAACAAATGACTGATGGCTTGGCTCCCTCAGCTCACCCTCACCACATCTGCAGATGCACTGCTATCCTCGCCAATCACGCGATGCAAATCCTGAAGTCGTCGTTGGACTTCTTCTTCAATGTAAGCACTGATCCTGCAAACAACAGAGATGGGGGAGGTGGCACTTAAAGATTTCTAACCACAGAGGGCATCTGAGATCCTCAGTTTACTACACCCTTCAAAAAGAGGTGCTCTCTCATTCTAAACATCAAACATAACAACTCGGGACCTTGACCATTTTTCTAGTTTCTAAGAAATGCAGTGCCATGTGTTCATGATCTCGGTTTTCTCCAAACAAGAGAGAAGTGGACTAATAACAGAATCTTGAGAATAAAAGGGAGACGACATGATCCCATCCACATCTCTCCTGGCTCTCCTTGGTGGAACCCCTGCTCCAGGAGAATCACAGACGCTGGCTTCAGAAGGCTCCACGGCCTCAGACCAGACTCTGAAAACCCACACTTCATTCACCAAGCCTCAGTTTCTTCACATGGAAAATTGTGAGTGTTATTTCTCATATCATAAAGTCATTTAAGAGGATTAAAGGGGAGGGGGAGAGTGGGCACAATCTCTATGAATCTTCACTATTCCAAGGGAACAATGGCTTGAATTGTTTCTGCTCCATCGTGTCTCTCCATAGGTACCTGGCTGTGAGAAACCACATTTTAAAGGCCCCTCTACCTTTCAAACTGCCTGGCATGTGGCCAAGACAGTGGAAGCAAGAAACAGTTGATGATTGAAGCAGCTGTCAACTAAATATATGGTACCCTAGAGAATGGAGGTGAACGTGTATGAAGTACAACCATCCACCCAGAGAAACCAGGAAGACCGAAGAATTTTAGTTCCAGCTAAAATTTTCTAGTGGCTCAGACTGCCCACATGGAAGGCTTGCTTAGCTCCAGACTCTCCCTCCCCCATACAGACACCGATTAGATGGATTATTTAAAATTAACTGTTTTGCATGTTTATTTCTTAGCACACTAAAAAATAATCTGGTTTCATCTTTCTAAGCACATGTGCACTCCTAGAAACATCTCGGTACTATGAACCATGCCTTGATGATTTCCTGAAATGTTAGGCAAAGAGATTAATATTTTAAGTAAAAGAGCACAGAAGAATGGATAATAAAATGCAGTAGTTACCTTTCAATACTGAAAGAAAAATCATGTGCAGCTGACCCAGAGCCAAGGGCACTTACAAATGAATTACTTCTCTGGACCTTTTACTTAGAGTTTAAACTAGCCCCACTGAAGATGCAGACCTAGATTTAAGGGGCCACAGAGGCTCATACCATTCTTCGTAGTTTTTGATATCCAAATACATGTCACCTACTGCCCAGGGCTCATGACTGCCCAATTTGAAATGTCCCCAAGACACAGCTGGAGTTGACGAAAATAATCCACTTTCTTATAGGCAAAGAATGATTAAGTCAACTTATCTGAAAGCTCTAAGTCACAGAGCAATTTACAATACCACTCAAGTTGAAAACCATTTTACTATAGTAACATCAGGTATATATGCTATTCATGACCATTCCAAATATACTGGCACAGTTTTTGTAACAGACTTCATCTATTTGTAATTAATGACTTCATAAATTAACTGTCAGCACGAGGTCCTTCTTCTTGGTATGGTTCAATTAACTCTACTTCTTTGTTCCTCTCAGCCTGGCCTTGGTTCACTCCTTTCTAGATGACGTGGTTTCCCTGGACCTTCCAATTCTACCTTCTCACACAACACTACTCCAAAATGCCTTGGGTTTGGATGGCCAGTCCTCAGATCTTTGGTTCCCTTCAAATGATACCTCTCCCCCCAGGCAATAAATTTATGGAGACAAAGTATACATATCTCAGAGACACCTATCACTAGTCACCTCTGATAGATCCCTTCACATGCACACTGGACAATACAAGGTACAGTGAGTCATTAAACCACATGGCAAATGTAAGTTTGGCATCAGTTTAATGTCCAGTACCTGGCATCCATCAGAGGGACCAGGTGAGATTTTTCACCACTGGATGGCAAGCTGGAAGAAGGAGCCTTCCCCTCCATGGTCCCACGATGCCCCTTTTGAACACCATCAACCTCACAGATCTTCTGCTTCAACTGCTGGATTTCATACTCTAATCTACAGAGATGGGAGTTACATGAATTCATTCATGAACAGTATTTCCGGAGCATCTTCACTGGGTGAGACATTGTTCTTGAAACCATGGGGGATCTAGACACTTTTTGCAAAGAGCTTTACCTTCTAGTAGTAAAGGTGCCACATATGCATCAGACAAGGTATAAGGGGATAACGAGCCATGAGAAGGATTCAGAACAATGCTGCAGGTGTTCAAAAGTTGGAGAGAGTTTAATTATCAAGGGCAAAGATATTCCCACAGTGCTGAGCCAATCCTCTGAGGTAGATGTACAGGATTCTGAGCCCCCTACCCCTGCCTCAACAAAACAGTTGGTCTTTGACCACATATGGGGATCCCCCTACATACCTCTGTTTGACAAAAGAGATCTATGCTTTAAAGAATTTTTAACCACCACCAACCCAAGGAGGATCTGCATGGTCAAGGCAGTTCTAAGTTGAATCTTCAGAGGCCCGTAGGAATTTGGGCATTTGGAGATGAGGGTTAAGGGCTCTCCAGGTACAAAAAGCAATATGAACAAAGCCCTAAGTCACAAAAACTAGAAATCCACTTTGGCTAAGGCAGAGGGTGTGGGAAAGGGAAACAGGAGAGAGACCTCGGAAGGCAAGGTGAGTATCTTGAGAAATTAAACCACTGTAGAACCAAACACTTATTTCCAATGATAAATGATACATCCAATATGAGGTCAAGTGTGTGTAAGCTCATTCTCCTGCTGGCCCGGGTATGCTTGGATCCAGGGCCAGGAGGCTAGAGGGCCAAGCTTGCCAGTAAATTTGGCCCAGGAAACATAGGCGCTGCAGCTCCCTCACTGTGTGAACTAAGGCGAGTTAATGAAATCTGGGCCTCAATTTTTTCATACACCAATCTGAAGAGTCAACTAGTCTAAATTCCTTCAGTCCCAAACTTCAAGGATTCTAGCTTCAGATGCTGGCACAGCATGATCCTACCAGCTCTCTGGTGTTACCAACAGCAATTTGATGGAACTACATGAAAGCCAAGCTCTCAACTCGCAGGGATGTAATTACAAGGTCACCAGGGTCAGCACTCATGGGTTCCATGGAGGCAATGCCCAGCCTAACTCAGCCATTCATCTGTCTGCTGATGAGCAAGTACTTACTAAGCATCAACTTCCACAGCATGTAGTCTTTTCAAAGGAGGAAGAAAGATGCGTAAACATTGACATCAGGGGCCAGTTGGTGGGCCAAGAACAAGGGAACAATATTAATACAAAGTCTTAGAGATGGTAAGGAAAACGAGCCAGATATAAGCAAGTAACTGCCAACATTTATAGTTAAGATGACATGTACCAGAGTCGGTCAAAGACATCTTTCAGGAGTGGGGCAGTGGAAAAGATACCACAGAGCAAAGGGGTTGTTGGCATGGGGTCCTGAAGCCCCAACAGGATTTCTATGGGTGGCAAGGGAAGCAGGGCGTCCCAGGAAAGGATTGTAGCACATATGAAGACAAGAGGACGAAGTGGCTCAGAGTGGGCTGGTGAGTAGACCTGCCACTTTCTAACTGTGTGACACTTGTCCCCAATGACTATATAACCACTGGGTAGAAAAGATGACAGAGAATGGATTAAATCTTGCTCATAAGGAAGCCAACAAGGAAAGCCAAGTTCAGTGCACTGTTGTCTAAGCTAGTTCTACTTGAATTTAAAATTTCACACTTGTGGGATTTCACAAGCGGCTGACTCAGGCCGCACGGCAGGCCCTGGCTTAGCCGTGAGAACCCAGAGAGATAATAACACACAAAACCAACACCCACAGAAAGCTGCAGTAGCATCACAGCCAGAGCAAAGAGCTCAGAATTTGTTGGCCTGAATTAGGTCTTAGCAAAGTCTACTCCATCAAAACGCATGAAGCCAAAAGCATCCTTTGTGTGGCTTCTGGAGGAACGCTGACATCAGGAAATCACTTCCCTGGAAATCACAATACTGTATCCGCTATAATAGAGTATTAATACTAATGGCCAGGGAGTGAAGCTGGTTGACAAAAGCCAGGGACATCAAGCTAAAAGCCCACGTGGCATTCTCACTGCACACTGCAGGATATAAATTGAGAGTGTGCCCTCCACTGCTTTAAATTTCCTGGGGCTGGAGCTTTGTCCGGCAATTTCATTTACATAACATACCTGCAATCATTTTCTTAAAACTCCAACCTATTTCTCCGAAGTAATAGCATTATGGTTTTTGATTGTTATTTCTTGCTGTTTTGCCAGAGGGAATTACCAGAGAGCAAAGGTAAATAGAACCCACAGTATAAGCAGATCATTTGAAAGGGAGGTTGTCCCAACCTGTTCAGGCAAGATGATGGAGAGAGGCTCCAGCCTCAGGTCTTGCTTTGTCGTTAGTATGGATCCTTGGCGTCTGCCAATATCAAGCTGGGCTCCTACAAGCCAGCCGACTGGGCTTCGGTTGCAGCCCCTCTGGAGGCGCTGTGGGTGCCTGGAATGCTGGAGAGGGGCAGCAGTCCAGGCCCTCCAACCTGGGCTTCAGGTAAGATCTCAACCGACCAAGGGGTCTGGAGCTAAAGAAAATGCACAGGCCCCTGGTCTCCTCCGCCCTCTTGTAAGAGGACGCACTGAGGCCCAAAGATCAAAGAGCCTGCCGAGGCCAGCCAGGCAGGAACGGGGTGGGCCAGGGTATGAAAGCTGGGCAGGACAACAAAGCAGGTGATGTCTGCACACCAGGCAGACTACCTACTTTCTGGGAGTCTTGGCATCACGTCTGCTGGGCTACCAGAAAAACGTGTTCTTGACTTCATGCACTTATTCCTTCTGAGAACCTACCGTGTGGGAAGTGTGGTGACAGGGAATGGGTGGGAGAAGATAAATACTCTTTCTTTACCATGAAAATAGTGCCAGTTCCTAGTTTTATTTTTCATAACACCAAAAGTAACATGAGTAAATCATCACCACACGTGCTTGAATATACCGCTCGCTGTGTTCACGAATCACCTGGAGAATTTTGTTTGTTTAGCAGTTTCCTTTTTAATACAGAATCCTGGGGCCTCCTTCAAATACTGTGAATCAGGAAGGGAAGGAAAGGGGCTATTTTTCAGTTTCCCAACAGGGGTGGAAATCAGCACCTGCTCTGTGTGGTCTGTGACCAAAGGGATGATGCTGTATTGTAACTAGTGCTGGTCAGAGAGAAGATGTTAGGCCCAGGGTGAGGGTGATGCGGGGAATAGGGGAGGGTAGGAAAAATTCTGAGGAGGGGTGGTCGGGGGAGGGGGGGGTGAGAAGGGGAGGACAGAAGGAAGAAAGGAGGGAGGAAGGGAAGGGAAAGAGAAAAGGGAGGGGAGGGGACAGATACAGGGGACGGGGCAAGCTGGAAGCAGTCGTATTTATCAAATATGACAATAATCGTATTCCATAAGTCAGTGGAGTCACAGACAAGGGCTCTGGTTTTGTTTGAGTGTTTTTTTCAATGGCAGGCCAACGATTCTCAGATGAGGATCCTAAGGAGCAAGAAAATGTGTGGGGGGGGTGCTTTTCTCAGCTTTGGTTGGACCACAAGCGTTGGCTGCTGTATCAGAGAACACACAGGCGAACAGAATCACTTTTTTAGAAAGACAGCGAGACGCACACCTTGAGAGGGCGGAAAACACACCACCTTTGGCACCTACGGTGTGCCGTGCTCTCCCTGTCCAGCCTCACCTCTCCCGGTCCTTCTCCAGGGCTTCCTGCTCAGCTTCCAGGCTGGCCCGGAGGCCGGACTGCTCGCTGCTGCTGTTCAGCGTGGCCAGTCTCTGCCTCTGCTCCTCGATCTCCAGGCCCAGGGTGGAGCGCCTCTGCAGGGCCCAGTGCCTCCTCTCCAGCCTGGCCACGGCCCGCTCCAGCGCCTCGCGCTGCTGCTTCTCCCGTGACTCGAGGATCTCCTTTTCCTTCTTCCTCACTTTTTCTTCCTGACGGGCGATGTTGGCAGTGAACTCAAAGGTGGCTTGGAGCTTCTGCAGCTGGCTCGCGTTGGCCTGGTACTGAGCGAGCTGTTCCTCTTTTTCTTCCATTTCTTTTTCCACTTGATAAAGAGTGTTGTCTAAGCCGAGAGGACCTCTGTCAAGGATTTCAAACGCTCTCTGCTTTTCCTCCAACAGGGTTGGCAAATGATGCTGCAGGAGGTACTGGAGCTGGCGTTCCTTATACTGCAGCCTGTATTCCGCGGGCTTTATCTTCTCGAGGATTTGAGCCGCCTGGGTGACGTGTGTGACACCCCCAGCATCCTTCTCCGACACTCTGAAGTCATCTTCGTTTGCAGACTTTAAACGCTCCAGGAGTTCTTGTTCCTCTTCGACTTCTTTTCTCAGGAGGTCCTTCTGCTGAACCAGGTCCTTCTCCAAGTTGGCCAGCTTGACCAGCTGCCTTCTCTTGAACTCCAGGAAACGCAGCTGAGCCCGTTCTGACTCCTCGCCGTCGTCCTCCCCTTCGGCCCGGGCCTCCTTCACCTGCAGGAGGGCCTCCCGGATGCCCTCCAGGTCCCTCCTCTCCTCCTCCACCCGCTGCACCTCCCCTCGCTGGAGGAGCCGGCTCATCTCCCGCTTCTGGCGCAGCTGCTCCTCTAGGTGCACCACGAGCACGACCTGCTCCTTCTCCTGCTCCTCCAGCCTCTTCTTCTCCAACTCGAGCTTGGCGTACTGCTCATCCTTCTCCTTCTTGAGGCGGTCCAGCTCTCGAAATATCTGGATCTTCTCGGCCTTCTCGTTGTTGTTGAGCTCCTGGAGCCGCTGGAGCTCTTCTTTGACTCGGAGAAAGCTCTCCTCCTCCTGCTTCTTCTGCAGCTCGATTTCCTGCTGCTCCCGCAGCCTTTCCTCTTCGAACTTTTCCTTCTCGGCAAGCAAATCCTTCAGCTTGCTCTCGATGTGGAAGCTGCGGCGTTTGAGGCTCTCCTCCTGCTTGCGGATCTGCAGCTGGACAATCTCCGTCTCCTTGCGCTGAGTCTCCACCTCCTGCTGCATCCGCTCCAGTTCTGCCTTATCTGACTTCTGCTTTTCTTCCATTTCTTCTATGAGTTTCCTGAAATGCCAAACGTTGACCCATCATCGTCTGCTCGCTACATACGAATGGTGCTCGAACTTTTCCCTACCTGAAATGTTCTGAACATGGACACGTGCCACAAAGTCAGGCCCTTCACTAAAATAAAAAGTGGGGGGAACTGCTTTCCTTTTCATTTCCAGCAGCACACTGCTTAGCTTTTTCACTCTGTAACTGTCCAACATATCATTTGCCTAATCTCCTGAAGTCGCCTCTGATATCATTTCTTTGTAGAGTCTATAAGCATAATGTGTTATGCATGATATAATTTTAAAAGCCCCCTGAGCTCAAAGAGAAAGAACCGTGCCCAATTTAAATTTAAATGTGAATAATGTTATTCAGCCCAATGGCTAAAACTCAATAGAAATTCAGTTACAAAATGACATTAAATAAAAATGCTTATGCTGTCCTCAACTCATTGGGGTCAAATATCAAAGTCAAGATAATCGACAGTTCATTGTTGCAGCTCAAATAACTGCATGCTATTTAGCATTTAATCACTAGTTTAGGACAAATGGTAATCACCAAATGGCCCCAAATATTAGTTTATTAACACATAACACTGAGAATAACAGGAGTCTCCATAGAAAACTGAGATGCATGATTTCAGGGGTTACATGTCATGCTTGGTCTATAGCATTCTAAACTCCAGGTTCCAGAAAATAAATATCCAATTTACAGATTTTCTCTGGCCTTTAGTTTCTACTCTAATATATAACCTTACTCTGTTTCTTGGCTCGTTAAACAGGATGCGGGTGGGGAGAAGGAGAAAATACTTAGTTTTATCAGATAATTATATTCAGAACATATAAAAAAAAACCTCTCCCAATCAGCTAAAAAAATCACTCACTCACACACACACACACACACACACACACGAGAAAAGTGGGCCAAGAATTTAAAGAAGCAAATTATAGAAGGGAAATATAAATGGCCAAATAACATAAGCAAAGATGTTTAAAAGGGGAGGAGATATAAGGAAGGGGAACTGTCATTCTTTTGGCTTTTTAAAACCTCAGGCGATAATCACTAAGGGGGATATGCTTTTAGATTAAACATAAGTATACATTTGGTGTATTAAATGTAACGAGTGTATGAAATTTGCCTACTGACTCTATTCCCACTTTCTCCCAAGTATTTGAAGATGTACTGTTTTCAAAACATTCAAACATGAGGTAAAACTAACCAGCTAGAGAAATGACCTACAGTCATTAAACACATAAATACTTGACACAGAGCCAGAGCAAGGTAGTGAAACAGACCCGAAGAAATCCGTCTGGAGCAGTAATGCAAGAATCCACAGACTACAGTAGTGTCAAAACCCGTACCCCACATGGCTTACCTTTTACTTTCTAATTTTTCAAGTTCTTCGCGCTGTTGCCGCTCAAATTCAAGTCTAATAAAAATCAAATGAAAATGAGTCACTTTTCAGAAACAGCTTTTCTCTCTCATTCTCTGTATATAGTTGCATATTAGAAAGAGCATCCATTTTTTAAGCATTATTTTTAATTACAATGGATTAGCAATTTAAAATGTTTTCTTTGCTCTGTGACTATGATTAGAAATTAGACATTCTTCTGGGTGCTGGCATTCAGGCTTGAAAAGAACATATTTGACCTGAAGGAAAACAAACAAAGCACGAATGTATTGAAAAAGCAGGGTTAAAGGAAACTTCTAAATGATAAGCATGTCTACTCCATGCAGCTTAATCACTGATGAGTATATAAAATAGAGAATCTCTACCTTAGACAGATGGGTCCTTTTATAGGGAAAAGACTGCCAGAGAGGTGAGAGACAAAGAGAGAGAGCACAGACATCAATTAAGAAAAGAATTAACTGGGGGAAACATCAGGAAAAAAGCAGTAAGGTACTTAACAGCCAATAGCCATGCATACATTGAAGTCTCTTTTTATAAATATCGTATTTCCCAAAAATTGCTTGAAGCAAAGACTCCAGGGAGTTAGATGTGTTATGTTTGCAATGTTCCCATCATGACAGCACTAATAATAACTGAGTACCAATAATAATTCTGACAGTAGTCAAATTCATATTTTTACTACTTTGTAGATGGTTATAGCACAGGGAAGTCCACCAAGATCTTCCTATGACTAGTAGTTCTAGGATACAGAAATTACTGGGGGCTACGTAGATTGTAGACAGATTTACCACAGCGTTACCAGAATAAAGGGGGCTAGTCACTGGGAATTTTAAAACAATTTGCTAATCTATTGATAACAAAAGTTGATCCTCCTCAAATACAAGTCTTAATGACTACAAGATTTCACAGTGTGAAATCTTATGAAACAGTGTGAACTGTAGTTCTTAAACTTCTACATTTTCCTGCTGTGGTAAATGGCAGTTAGAGCTAAAAAGTTCAACTCTGGAAAAATTCATCACAAACTTTCCCGTATGACATGCAAATCCAGGCTGGCAAAAGTAACCTTTACAATGAGCTAACAAACATTCCAAATAGATGTGTTACCTATTCATTTGAGCGAACATTGAGAGTAAGATGCCTGGTGTCTTTTATAAGCAAAACTAAGTGCTGTGGTAGGTCGTTTACCCACGTTAGCTTACTTTGTCTTCCCAGCAAACCCTAAAGTTAGCAAAGTCTCTCCATCTTACAGATAAGGAACCCAGAGCTCAGGTATGTGAAACAACTTGTCCAAGGTCATAATGGTGAGATGTGGAAGAGCCAGGATTTGAACCCATGATAGCCTACTCCCAAAACAGCCCCCCTCAATTCATGAGCAATGCTCCAATTTGTGATAGACAATAAAAGATTTAAACCTTCCCTGAAACTTGTCATTTAGGGTTATACATATCCTCCCATCAAATGAAAATAATCTGTAGACTGTAGGCATTGCCATCCATGAGAAATCAATCACATAAATATATACGAAGGTATTTGCAAGTCCCCAAGCTCAGCACATATGCCATTATACTAAGTAGGGATAAGGTTTCATTAAAGTTAATATGTGATTGTTCTCTGTTATACAGCAATAAACAGAACCTTGAAAATGTTTCCTAGTAGGTATTTTTTAGACTTCAGTACAGTTTAGCTTTCCTAGAAATATTTACATGGTCAAAAAGAATCATTAGATTAAACACTTTCAAAACCAGAGAATTCCCCTAATGGAACTGCCTTTAATCTCTAGTTTTACTTTCTATGAACAGCCCAGTGTAACCAACAGTAGACACTGCTCTGACAATGTCACAGGCATGTGGTCCGAAACCAAATGCTCCCCTGAGAGTTGGGAGACCTGGGTTTGAATGAAATCCTCTCACCTGAGGACTGTGTACCAGGGGCAGGTGCTGGGCTAGGCTCTTAGCTGGCAATACCCTTCCTCTGTTCTCCCAACCCTGCCAGGGTGACATGCTTCTCATCCCCATTTTGCAGAACAAAAAACTGAGGCTTAGAAAAGTTAAGTAGCAGAGGGAGAACTTGAATCCAAGTTTGATACACTAAAACCTGGGCTACTGACCACTGCAATTGTTGCTACTGAGCTGTGTCATCTCAAGAGGT